CGGGACGCGGCGGCGGGAGGTAACGGCGGCTTGGGCGCGGGGCAGGCCCGGGAGGTGAGGGAGTGGGCGAGGAGGGCGGCCGAGTGACCCTCCCCTGCGCCCCTCCTCACAGCCGCCGGCATCCTCCTGAAGTACCTGCGGGAGCAGAACCGGCCCTACAGCGCCCAGGACGTGTTCGGGAACCTGCAGCGGGAGCACGGACTGGGAAAGGCGGTGAGGACCGTGTCTCGGGACTCCCTCCCCGTGGGACCCCGAATCACGCTAGGGTCCTGCCCGCTCCGGCTTTCCCCACCGCGGGTGGAAACTCCCGGAGTCTGATTGGCGCCCCTCCCTCCGCCAGGCGGTGGTGAAGGCGCTGGAGCAGCTGGCGCAGCAAGGCAAGATCAAGGAGAAGACCTACGGCAAGCAGAAGATCTACTTTGCGGATCAGGTGAGACCCTGCGCAGATGACCCGGAGCCCGTCAAATGCGAATCAGCGCCTACTCATCAACTCTTTGGCAGAGCTGAGGCATCTCCTGAAACTCGCCTGTCTTAAGCCTTTAAAAGGACCTCAGACCTGGGACTAGCAGTTGACTTAATGGCTCTGTCGCTCTTAAAAAAAAAATGCATGGGGCCAGCAGGGGGCACTGTGGTTAGGGCTCAGGACTCCCATTTGGCTGACCACAATTCACGTCCCAGACCTGGCAGCTTCCTTTCTCACTTTCTCGATCTCTAGTCAGATTAAAAAAGCTGTACCTGGGAACCAGCAGTTAGCGTAATGGCTATGTCGCTGGAATCCCACGTAGTCGACCGCGGTTCGTGTCCCGGACCCGGTGGCTTAAAACTCACGCCAGGCACGTGTGCGTGCGTGCCCAAGATCCCGAGAGGAGAATGGAGGAGAAGGGATTGCGGCGTGACCATCCCCCCTGGGGGGTGATTTCTCGCTTTCTGTCTCTATGTCTCTCTCTGTCTGTCTGGCGAGCGCACGCGCCCTACAGTGAAAATCTCTCCAAAAAAATATAAAAAAGCTGTACCTGGGGACCAGCAGTTAGGGTAATGGCTATGTCGCTGGACTCCCACGTAGTCGACCGCGGTTCGAGTCCTGGACCTGGTGGCTTAAACTCACACCGGTTGCGTGTGCGTGCATGCCCAGGATCCCGAGAGGAGAATGGAGGAGAAGGGATTGCGGCGTGGCCATCCCCCCAGGGGGTGATTTTTTGCTTTCTATTGCTCTTTATGAAAAAAAAAATAAAGAAAAAAAAGCTGTATCTGGGAACGAGTGGGTGGTTAAAGTGCTGGACTCATACATGGCTTACCATTCAAGTCCCAGATCCAGTGGCTTCAAAATCATGCTAGGCACATGAGTGTGTGCATGCCCAAAATCCCGGAGGAAAATGGAAAAGGGATTCAGCATGGCTATCTACCCCTAGTGCGGTGGTTTTTCACTTTTCCTCTCTCTGTCTCTCTGGGGAGTACATGTGCAAAAGCAAAGCAAAACACGTGATCAGGATTTGGCATGCAAGCTGTAGTTTGCTGACCCCTGCTCTAGAAGTTCACTTTGCCTAAGCACAAAGTCCAAAGTGCCCAGGCCAGCATTCATGTCCTTTGTAACCTTCTCATCACCAACTGACATATCCCACTGATCCCCAACACAGTCCTTTCCTAGCAGCAGTCTCTCATTGGAGGAGCATTAAGATTTCTACTGAATCCCATCTAAATAGATCCCATCTTACCTCCTTACCTGTCCAGATTCTCCCTCTTGAGGAGCTGTAATCTAGGTTTCCCCATCTTGGGAAACCCTTCAGCCTAGGGAGTGTTTTCACTAAATGGAAAACTTCTTCTGTTCAGTACCCTACCCACCCAGAAGCTCCTTGAGGACGGGCATCAGGTTTCAAAGGTTACACCTTCCTCATGGGCCCAATACTCAACTGAATGATTTTCTCAAAACTATTGTACCATTATTGCCCTTTAGAGGGTTTGGGAAATACCAGCTGTGTGTTCCCATCTTTGTGCCCCACATCAGTTCACTCCCTCTTTCCCCTTGTCTCTGGCAGGACCAGTTTGATACAGTGAGTGATGCTGACCTACAAGGCCTGGATGCCCAGGTTGTGGCCCTCACTGCTAAGGTGCAGAGCTTACAGCAGAGCTGCCGCCACATGGAAGCTGGTAGGACTGGGTAACCCAGGGACGGTGCCCATGGGGTCATTATCTGGAGGTCAAGCGTTGCTAAGTGAATGTTAGTTGACTGCAGTGTATTGTTTCAGCTAAGACCCTTTGGCTGGGCCTGGCTTAGGCATAACATAAAAAGAAACAACAGAACAAATGGCTTTTGGGTACAATGGGCAAGGCTGTATTTGCTTTCCCTGCCGTATAGCATCACTTGCCTTTATTCCCGTGTCTTTAAGTCTGCTCAACCTCACACTCCACCACTACTTAGAGATGGAGGGGGAAAGAAAAATAGAATAAACTGGTAATTCTGCAAGCCTTATTTTCCTGAGCATTTCCATCAATTCCATAATTTCCTTAGTCTGGATAGATCTTATAGCAAGGTGGAAGCTGGTCTCCCACCTCAGGGAGCACCCACAGGGAAACAGAGAACCCCTTCCTTGGGAGTAGCAAACCATCCCAGGGGGATGTGGTTTCAGAACTCAAGGAGTTAACTAGTGCCCTGACCACACCCGAGATGCAAAAGGAGATCCAGGAGTTTTTTTTGTGCTAGCTACACAGAGAGACTGAAGAACATCAAAGCAGCCACCAATCATGTGACTCCAGAAGAGAAAGAGCAGGTAAGTTGGGACAGAAGGCTGGAAGCCTGGAGGGCTGAAGGCTCCTGTGGCCTGTGGGGTTAGAGAAACCTGTTTCTTCCTTCCAGGTATACAAAGAGCGGCAGAAGTACTGTAAGGAGTGGAGGAAGCGGAAGAGGATGGTAAGTGTGTCGGAGCTCTAAGGTATGTCCTGGCACTACTTTGAAAATGGCAACGGGACCAGCAGATGGCGTAATGGTTACATTGCTGGACTCCCATGTAGTCGAGCGCAGTTCGAGTCCCAGACTCGGTGGCTTAAACTCACGTCAGCGTGCATGTGTGCCCAAGATCCCAAGGAGAATGGAGAAGGGATTGTGCCGTGGCCGTCCCCCCGGGGGGTGATTTCTCCCTTTCTGTCTCTCTCTTTTTGGCAAGCACACACTCCCTATAGCAAAAAACTCCCCCCTCCCCCCCCAAAGAAAAAAGAGAAAAAAAAGAAAATGGCAGCTACCAGAGAAACTAGCTTGATGTCATGGATCCAACAGGAAATGCCCACCTAAGACAGTGTGGTTTTCCTCTCTTGTCAGGCAACAGAGCTGTGTGATGCGATCCTTGAAGGATACCCCAAGAGCAAGAAGCAGTTCTTTGTAAGTGGTGCTCTCTCCCTGTCTTGCTCCCCTGGAGTCTTTGCCTAGGTACATTTTGCTCACGGTCTCTCCCTGCTCCACAGGAGGAAGTTGGGATAGAGACAGACGAAGATCACAACGTCAGGCTTCCAGACCCCTGAAAGGCCCTCTGCGCGGACTAGGGGATAGCAACGTGGCAATGCCCTGTGCTGGCTACCTTGTTTAGGTTGGCTTTTTTGTTGTTCCTGCTGCGTTCCACTTTGAGCAGAGCTGTCAGGAGAGACACAGACCATAGTGTTGGGTGGAGGGAGTGAGGCTGGTGAATGCAAGTGCACACTGCAGTGGCTTGTGCTAACACTTGCAACAGTGCTACAGGAAAGCATCTGGCAGTATTTATTGTAATATAGTTTGATATAAAAATATTTAATTTTGCCTTGATAGTCAGATCTCCCAGATAGCAAAACTGAGGAAGGCAGGAGTTCAAAGAGACAAGGGTAGAGGTACTATTCATCAGCACATGAGTAGCCCACACTTGACCCAGAGTCTCCTGGGCTTACACACCCCAGGAGACCTTTTGAATACTTTGACCTCACCCTCAAATCCTGGGAGAATGTCGGCAACATAGAGATGGCAGAGGATCAGAAATGCTAACAGGCTGAAAATGGTTTTGAGGCCTGGTTAATTTTCTGAAATTACAACTTTTGGAAAATTGCATCACTGTTTAGAAAAATTAAAAATTCAAACACACAGTGCTGCATGACACTTGCCTTTGCTGTGGGATGCTATTACCCATGGGACCAGTTAAGGCAGAAGCTGGCTTGGGAGGTTGCTGGCCAGCAGTATGGTGGTTAAGGGGCCAGATCCCACATGGCCAACTGTGCGGTTTAGTCCTGAACATGGTGGCTTGAGAAACACTCCAGGCATGCATGTGTATGCACATATGCCCAAAAATCCTGAAAGGGAGAGATGGAGAAGGAGTTGTGGCCTGACTGCCCCATGGGGGTGTTTTCTCATCCCCAATACTCCTGTAAGCACATGTGCCTTCTGGCAAATTATAACAAAAAGAGATTGCTTCCCCGTCAACAAGAGCATGGGAGGAAAGGTGTGTGGTGAGGACAGGAACCTGGAAGCACTGCCTTGACCTGGCCAGAAAGCCTTGGACTGCCCAGGTGACTTTAGTGGAGCCATAGTGGCCTTGCACTCTGCCTGGCTAGGGGAGCATTTCTTCTTACCCCTTTTCCTCATCCAGCTACTACCAAAATGGCCACACTTGGGCTGAATTCTGCCCTAGAGACTAAAGAGAGATTGTTTCCAATATAAGAGTAGGAGCAGAAATCAGGCTCAGAGAAAGGGCTGAGAGATAAGGAACTTTTCAGGGTGCCCAGAACAGACCCCCCACCCCAAAAACTTCCATGGGAAAGGGGCAAGTCTGAGTTAAGTTTGAGTTTTACAGTCAATATAATAAATTAATCAAAAGCTTTCACAAAATAAACAGCCCAGCCCCACTGAAAATCAGGTGAGGCTGGGGAAACCAAACACCAAGTAGAAACCAGCTGACCGGTGTAAGGTGTTGCAGTTCAATCTCTTAAGCCCAGGAGCTCTATGGCCAAACAGGAGGAGACTCAGGGCCACTTGTAGGTCGTTCTACAGGTTTCCAAGAGCAGGTCAGTAAAGCTGATTTTTCAGCTGGTGCAGGACGCCAATCACAATCTCTCGGAGGGTCTGGCAGGGGCAGCAGAGGGAGACAGACAACACTCAGGTGAGGGTACCAAGCCATCTCAGGGATGCTGGCTTAGAGCAGGCTGCTCTTTAGAAAGTGCATTTGGGGACCAGCAGATGGAATAATGGTTACATTGCTGGACTCCCATGTAGTTAACCATGGTTCAAGTCCCGGACTAAATGGCTTAAAACTCATGCCATGCGCATGTGCACATGTGCCCAAAGTCCCGAGAGGAAAATGGAGAAGGGACTGTGGTGTGGCCATCCCCCCTGGGGGTTGATTTCTTGCTTTCTGTCTCTCTGGTGAGTGTACATGCCCTATAGCAAAAATCTCTCTTTAAAAAAAAAAAAAGTGCCCTTGAAAATAGCCCCTGGGAAGTTCTAATGTCCAGTCTACTCGAAACTGTCCCTAAAACAGGATAGAGAAGTAGACAGATATGTGATAAAGCAAATACAGTAAAGGTTACTGGCAGAACTTAGGTGGTTAAGTACAAGACTGTATAGTGGAAAATTCAGCATTTCTATATGTTTAAGGTGTGTAACAATAGAAGTTAAACGAAGTAAAAATATCAGAGACAAGTTCATGCCCTGAAAAAAAAAAAAGAAAGAAACAGACCTCAAAAGCAAAAGACCTCAGTGTGGGGTGAGCCTGGTTAAGTGCAGTGTATCTGGAACTGGATCCCACATGGACAACCATGGTTTGATTCCTGGATCTGGCAGCTTAAAAAACATTGGGTACATGTGCACCCAAAATCCTTTTGGTTTTTTTTTTTTTTTTAAGAGAGATTTTTGCTATAGGGTGCGTGTGCTCACCAGAAAGACAGAAATAAATCATGAGGGTGGGGGGAACTGGGAGCGAGGCCATGTCAATCTTTTCTCTATTCTCATCTTGGGATCTTGGGCACGCAATCACATGCACCTGGCATGAGTTTAAGCTGCCAGGTTCCGGCCTCAAACGGTGGGCAACTACATGGAAGTCCAACGACATAACTGTTATGCCATCTGCTGGCCCCCTTTTATTTTTTTTTGAAAGTATGTGCTCGAAATCCTGATGAGAAATGGTGGAAAGACTGCAGTACAACCACTTCCCACTTAGGGGACACTTTCTCCCTCTTGCTCTGTGGTGAACACAAATACACTCTGGCAATTAAAGAAAAAACTTTTTAAAATAAAAAATAAATACTTTAGAATAATACCATTGGCACATCTCCATTACAAAAACAAACAAAAACCCCAGGGCAGTGGGCCTGAGCAGGGTTCTGGAATCTGCATTTATCTTTTTAAAAGAGATTTTTGCTATAGGGTGTGTACACTCTTCAGAGAGACAGAAGGTGAGAAATCACCCCTCTAGGGGGAATGGCCACACGGCAACCCCTTCTCTACCGTTCTCGTCTTAGGATGTTGGGCATGTGGCCGGTGTGAGTTTCAAGCCACTGAATCCAGACTCAAACTGTTGGTCAACTATGTGGGAGTCCAGCAAGATAACCATTAGGCCATCTGCAGATCCCAGGAACCTGCATGTTTCTAAAAATTCTGCTTGTGGCGATTCTGTACACGGCAGCCAAGGAGTGGCTAATGAGGAGCGACGCCATGGGCTAAACAAAAGCTGAGGTGCTGGGCCTAGCCTTGAGCGAGTATTCACATCAGACTCGTCAAATGAAACTATAACATGATGACACAGCCAGATAGCCACGAGAGAAACAGAAGAGTACTGGAAGTTGCAGAAACATTCTTAAACCAGAAAGCAGCTACCCTGCTTTTCTGAACACATAATGGCTTGGGCCACTGTGCATGAAAGTAGGGAAGAAACCTCAGACCCCATACCTGAGGCTTACAGTGCTCTTCAATCCAGCTGAAGACACAAGCTGACAACTCCTGGAAGCTGGCCACAGAAATGGAGGCATTGAAGGACTGGAACAGGGAGTCCATGATGCCTTGGAACACGTTGAACTTGACCTGGTCAGAGACCTGGTCCTCCCCCTCGTGGGGGTTGTCCTGGTGTGCCTTCACAATCTGCTCGTAGTTCCTGAAAGCATGCAGGCCAGGGTGCTGGGTGTTACAGCAGCTCCACCAGCCCAGAGAGAATGCGCACCCCTGCAGCAAGGGGATTCCCAGAGAGCTTGTGGGATATATTCAAAACCAGCTAGATGCTGCTTCTAGGTTAGGAATAAGGACCCCTCTTCAACCTTCCTTTTATTAACCCAACAGGCCTTTCCTGAGTGTGTGCTTAGTGGCCAGCTCAGAAAGGGAGAGTACTATCTGCTGTGTTATCTGATGCCACCTTTAACCGGGAAGGGTATGCGCTTAAGTCGCCTTAGAGTCCCCTCAGAAGTTCTGGTTTGGTTCCCCCAGATCAGCACCCCTCTTACACTTTCATGATCTTTAGGGCTGTGACATCCTTGCGTAGTGTGGACACCTCCTCCTCCTGCTTTTTCTTCTCTTTATGCAAAAACTGAATGTAGTCAATAGCTGGGGTAGGGGCAAGAGGAGAGCGTGGGCTCAGGAAATCTCAAGCAGGTTGCTTTTGTTTCCCCATCCTCTGCCTATCCCGCTTACAACCACCACCCCAGGGTAAGCCAAGAAGGGTGTACGAGGTACTAGTCTTTTCACAGCCCCTGGTGGCTCCAACCCCTCCGACCCTCTCCCTAGCCATACTCTTCTGTAGAACGATGGCTTTGCTGAGCTTCTGGGAGCCAATGGAGAAGTCCTGCTGCTGGCAAGTTGGCACGATGGTCTGAAGGTCATCATAGCCTCTCTGTGGAGACAGCGGGGGTGGGGGGGAGATTCCTTCACCCTGAGGGAGTAGGGCAAACTGGCACAGAGCTTTTCTTCCATGACACCAGGTTCCACGCTCACAAACAAAAGGCTGGGAAACTAGAATAAGGGAGGTTTTCACACCCAGAGGCTAGCCCAGCTGCCCGCATGGGTGTCTGAGACTAGAAGGGACCAGGATAGGGCATCTGAAGTGCGCAGGGCTTCCCCAGTCACCTTGATGGCATCCCTCCTTTTCTGCTCAGCCTGAGTGTGTGCTCGCCGCCGCCGGTCCTTGTAGGATTCCTTGTAGGACTCCTGGTGGTAATCACTGTCCTCGTCATCTACACTCAGAGGTAGGAGCAGGGAGAGGTCATCCTGGGGTCCAGTGGGGCCCAGCCAGCCCACCTTTCCCAGCTGGGAAGAACCCGGTGCCTAGAGATGGCAGGTGGGCAGAACCTAAAATCCCAGATGAGGTAAAAGTGCAACCCCATGCCTGGCACTTGGCTCAACACCGCCATGTGGATGGCTGGAGCTTCAGTGTCTAGGAAAGACACTAACACCATGGCATGTCTGAGTCCCCCCAGGGGAAATGTTGCTGCTTACCTGTGTTAGGAACAGAAGAGGCACTAGTGGAACCGATACTATTAGCTCTGGAGACTACACTCCCCTTGCGGGTGCTTTCTACAAAAAGCCCTGGGAAAGAGAGGCCCCAGTCACTAAAGCGTAGGGTGGGGAGCCCTGCCAGGTACTCAGACTGTTGGGAGCACCAGGGCTTCCTTAAATGCTGACCTCTGCCCTTCAACCCAAAGTCAGCCATACTGGGCCACCCAACTTCCTGCTACACCATGCTGTGATACTCCTGTCCCCGTGTCTACACTGCTCCGCAGGCCTGCAGTGATGCCCCAGCTCACAAAGGGGCATCTGGGCGTGACGCAGATGAGGGGTTGACCAGCTGTCACTGTTTCCATTGCTTCTGTTCCAGAGCAGAAGGAACTAGGTGTCACCCTCTGTTGCTTCCTGTCTTCCAGTTCCTCCCTCGCTGTCTCAAGCCAGGAACTCCCGCAGGGACAGTGGACTGTGCCCAGGTGTGGCTGGCAAGGCCACGGCAATCTATGTAGCGGGAGTGTCACTCTAGAGGTGAAGAGGACGGGGAGGGCACTCACCAGGGTCCAGGCTATTGTCACTGTACGCATACTCCACCTGCGCACCAACGAGAGAGACCCATCAGATCTCCGCCCCTGGGGAAGGCGCTCCTCACGCGCGTACACGGACACCCTGGGGTACGCGGCAGCCCGGGGAGCCAAGACTGGAAAGACCGTGTGACCGCAGCACCCCCCTCAACCCCCAGCTCTTAAAATCGCGCACACATGCCTCGTTTGTCTTCCCACCTTAGCGCGCGCAGGGCGAGCACTGTCTTCTCTGCGCCCCAGGGTCGGGAGAGCGAGGGGTGCTCTGGGGACAGGAGGGAAGCCCCTCGACTTCCGGACCCTCTACATGCACAAGCCCCTCACTCCCTCCCCCCGCCGGCATGCGCGCCCACGGGGCTTGCCTTGACCCAGGGGTCCTCGGGAGAGGCGCCCGACTCCGTCATCCTGGACCCACCGAACCGGAAACTAGCCAGCAGGGCCGCAAGGAAGAGGCCAGGTTTGCCCACGTGACCCAAATCCCTCAATCCAAGATCCGAAGGCGGAGGGCGGGGCAGGGGTACTGCGCATGCGCGGCGCGAAGGCTTTAAACGCTTATCTGCGCCAGCTAAGTCGCGCGTTGGGAAGTGCTACCGTTAGTCCTTGCCCTCCTGTGACGTGAAATGGGGTCCCTCTAAAAAGCTTGCTTGAAGAGTATCACACTGTGCGCGCACGCGCATTGGGCCAGCTGGCTACGCTGCTCTGTGGGCGGTCTGTCCCTCCCTCAAGCGTTCCCCAGACAGCGCTGTTCTGGCCAGTATCCCTCGCGTTATCGGACGCCACCGGGCAGCGGGCTGTGTGAGGGCAGAGATCTTCCAGCACGCAGCCGTGTCTGGCAGGGCACCTGTAGAATTCAACTCTTGCAAAAAGCCTATTACTGTATGCTGGTTCATAGATGAGGAAACTGAGAATGTTAGAAAAGCCAATGGAGAAGTCCTGCTGCTGGCAAGTTGGCACGATGGTCTGAAGGTCATCATAGCCTCTCTGTGGAGACAGCGGGGGTGGGGGGGAGATTCCTTCACCCTGAGGGAGTAGGGCAAACTGGCACAGAGCTTTTCTTCCATGACACCAGGTTCCACGCTCACAAACAAAAGGCTGGGAAACTAGAATAAGGGAGGTTTTCACACCCAGAGGCTAGCCCAGCTGCCCGCATGGGTGTCTGAGACTAGAAGGGACCAGGATAGGGCATCTGAAGTGCGCAGGGCTTCCCCAGTCACCTTGATGGCATCCCTCCTTTTCTGCTCAGCCTGAGTGTGTGCTCGCCGCCGCCGGTCCTTGTAGGATTCCTTGTAGGACTCCTGGTGGTAATCACTGTCCTCGTCATCTACACTCAGAGGTAGGAGCAGGGAGAGGTCATCCTGGGGTCCAGTGGGGCCCAGCCAGCCCACCTTTCCCAGCTGGGAAGAACCCGGTGCCTAGAGATGGCAGGTGGGCAGAACCTAAAATCCCAGATGAGGTAAAAGTGCAACCCCATGCCTGGCACTTGGCTCAACACCGCCATGTGGATGGCTGGAGCTTCAGTGTCTAGGAAAGACACTAACACCATGGCATGTCTGAGTCCCCCCAGGGGAAATGTTGCTGCTTACCTGTGTTAGGAACAGAAGAGGCACTAGTGGAACCGATACTATTAGCTCTGGAGACTACACTCCCCTTGCGGGTGCTTTCTACAAAAAGCCCTGGGAAAGAGAGGCCCCAGTCACTAAAGCGTAGGGTGGGGAGCCCTGCCAGGTACTCAGACTGTTGGGAGCACCAGGGCTTCCTTAAATGCTGACCTCTGCCCTTCAACCCAAAGTCAGCCATACTGGGCCACCCAACTTCCTGCTACACCATGCTGTGATACTCCTGTCCCCGTGTCTACACTGCTCCGCAGGCCTGCAGTGATGCCCCAGCTCACAAAGGGGCATCTGGGCGTGACGCAGATGAGGGGTTGACCAGCTGTCACTGTTTCCATTGCTTCTGTTCCAGAGCAGAAGGAACTAGGTGTCACCCTCTGTTGCTTCCTGTCTTCCAGTTCCTCCCTCGCTGTCTCAAGCCAGGAACTCCCGCCGGGACAGTGGACTGTGCCCAGGTGTGGCTGGCAAGGCCACGGCAATCTATGTAGCGGGAGTGTCACTCTAGAGGTGAAGAGGACGGGGAGGGCACTCACCAGGGTCCAGGCTATTGTCACTGTACGCATACTCCACCTGCGCACCAACGAGAGAGACCCATCAGATCTCCGCCCCTGGGGAAGGCGCTCCTCACGCGCGTACACGGACACCCTGGGGTACGCGGCAGCCCGGGGAGCCAAGACTGGAAAGACCGTGTGACCGCAGCACCCCCCTCAACCCCCAGCTCTTAAAATCGCGCACACATGCCTCGTTTGTCTTCCCACCTTAGCGCGCGCAGGGCGAGCACTGTCTTCTCTGCGCCCCAGGGTCGGGAGAGCGAGGGGTGCTCTGGGGACAGGAGGGAAGCCCCTCGACTTCCGGACCCTCTACATGCACAAGCCCCTCACTCCCTCCCCCCGCCGGCATGCGCGCCCACGGGGCTTGCCTTGACCCAGGGGTCCTCGGGAGAGGCGCCCGACTCCGTCATCCTGGACCCACCGAACCGGAAACTAGCCAGCAGGGCCGCAAGGAAGAGGCCAGGTTTGCCCACGTGACCCAAATCCCTCAATCCAAGATCCGAAGGCGGAGGGCGGGGCAGGGGTACTGCGCATGCGCGGCACGAAGGCTTTAAACGCTTATCTGCGCCAGCTAAGTCGCGCGTTGGGAAGTGCTACCGTTAGTCCTTGCCCTCCTGTGACGTGAAATGGGGTCCCTCTAAAAAGCTTGCTTGAAGAGTATCACACTGTGCGCGCACGCGCATTGGGCCAGCTGGCTACGCTGCTCTGTGGGCGGTCTGTCCCTCCCTCAAGCGTTCCCCAGACAGCGCTGTTCTGGCCAGTAGGTCAAACACCCGCAGAACTCCTCCCTCACGTTATCGGACGCCACCGGGCAGCGGGCTGTGTGAGGGCAGAGATCTTCCAGCACCCAGCCGTGTCTGGCAGGGCACCTGTAGAATTCAACTCTTGCAAAAAGCCTATTACTGTATGCTGGTTCATAGATGAGGAAACTGAGAATGTTAGAAAGTCTAATGCTTATTCAAATACAGCTAGTCAGTGGTGGGCTCAGCCTGGCTAGCTTCAAAGGCCAAAGTCTTGAAACCAGCAGATGGCGTAATGGTTACATGGATGGACTCCCACGCAGTCAACTGCAGTCAGAATCCTGG